CTAGTTTACATGTCAGGTATAACGGCTTAAAGTCTGTCAAATCGCACGCATGTTTGCTCTTGCGAAAAGCACGCCTGCCGCCAACCCTAGCAAAGAAAATACAATTTAGCAGGATTCTCCAATTCCTAGTATACGATAATTAGTTCAGAACGACGGAAAATAAAATAATAAAAATAATAAAAATTATTACCAAAGAATATACTAGCAGAATTTTCCAAGCTAGTCGAAACATTAAAAAGTAGAATCCCAGCAACTGAAAGGGGAATCTTGTTAAGTGACCCCACGAGACTGCAAAATGCAATAAAATTGATTGTAAACCAAAGACTCGAACGAATCAAAGAAGGCTAAATAAGTTATATATTTGTTCGATTTATGGTTGTAAACAAAGGTTTACCTGTATGTAGTAGCTCCCGTTTGATGGAGAAACCACATGGAAGTGAAGCTGATTGCTAAACCCAAGAACCCACTAAACGTTATCACCACCCAAAACGTGGGCAATCTCAAAAGTGGTCTGCCGTACGGGAACCAAAAAAAAAACGAAAAAATGTCAGAAAACGGGTTCAAGATTATCCATAATTATCGTAAAATTAAACATATCGGAAAGAAGAAAGGATTAGTAGCACCATTTCTATCGACTACGAGATAGTATAATGTTCGACCAAACGGAGAATGCATCAGTACGAAACCACACGAAAAAAGTAAAAAAAAAAAAAGGATGAATCTTTACTTACGATTGTGAAAGATAGTCGACTTCGTTGAACACAAAAATAAGGAAAAGTCCTAGTGGCAGTGAAAGGGTATTGTTTAGCATGACCATCGAGAACTCGTTCAGTTCTCCAGATTTAGTGACTAGTTTGGCAGTATCCATCACCCTACGCAAAGTTAACTGCGCCACGAGATAGATTTACGGAACCTGCATTAGGCTAAAAATTTCCAAAAAACGGGGTCGATACGGTGGTCAATCACTTTAAGATTAACTTACGGAATACGATGCTGTCAAAAAACAATTGAAGAACTGCCACGTGTATCCAACGGCATTAAACGAGAGATCCGTAAATCCTCCCGATATTGCTGAAATTATCTGCATGAAAATCACAAGCGATTCAATCCAACACAAACTCGTAAACTTGAAGTATCGATATCAAATATCTAGGGACTAACTGTCACTTTGGTTATCACTATGAAATTTCGCGTAAAGATCGAAACACAAAATTAACATATCAAGAATCCACTCGGAAAATTGCAGTCGACAACATACCATTAAGAAAAGGGCAGCCCAAACCCTATTGTCGTGGTGCTTGTTGAATAGATACATTTCGCCGACGGCAGTCATCACATTTGTTACATTCTTCAGGACCGTAACCATGGCAACGTTTATGTATCTCAGACTGCAACGAGGCGTGAATTAATGCATCAAGTAACATCTTGAAGAAGAGATTACGAAACTTTCGAAGGAATAGTAGTACCTAAACATGCTCGTGACGAGCATCCCGACAAATATCATATTGACAGGCAACCATACTTTGATTAGTCTCCACGTGAGTGGCTCCGTTGTAATTATGCCGAAAAAACTCAACGACGAAACGATAATTACTGACACAAAGTTCTGCAAGCACGAAGCCGTATTTTATCAGTCCGCAGAACGTAAAAAACATTTGAAAAACGAAACATAGTAAAATTATGTACGAGGATTTATGAGGCAACCTGGTACAGCATCAAAGATATTCCGGCGTTAAAGTCGTAACTCGAGAGAACATACTTGTTAACCAGTATCATGCTGCACGAAGAAAGACAATAAGCGAGCCCCGATAACAAGGCCTGGTTGTGTAATGTAAGTCCTCGTTTACTTCGCACCGACTTTTCTCTGTCCTTGTCTAATCTCCCACTCTCTACGTCAATCTCTTCACTGTCACTCGGAAACTTCATCCCCGATAAAGATCTGTGACGTGCAGCATATACTCAACAACAGTTACGAAGAAAATCTTTACAGTGAAGGAAAGAGAAACGCGTACCTGTTGGCTATTTCTCTTCTAGCTGGACTCGAGACCTGATCTACCGAAGTAGTGAACTGATGGTTTATGATGATTCTTTCTCCACTTGGAGAATCCATCGAATATCCAAACTGATATTCCTCTCCAGATCAGAATCGGGAAAATCTAGAGTAGAAGCACCATTCAACAATCTCTACCATAAGTAAAAATCGATAACAGTATCCAGATAGTGGCCGGAAATTACGCCGTCAATAACTTCAAAGCTGGAACCTGGAGGTAGAACGAAAGACGAACAATAATAAAAAAAACAGTCCCACCATGAAATCACTTCCACATATGTAGTAATCTTGCAACGGAACCTACTATAATAACTGAAAAAACAGGAAAGCCATAAAATAACTCTCGTACAATTCGGTGCCATTAAATAGTTACATATGACTACGGAAATCAGGTTTCAAAGGGCAAGTCCTCGATTAAAACAATCTTCATATCCAATCTATCAACATTCACAAGGGGATCCATATTGTGGATTCTTAGCATAACCGTTTATCGATAGAAACAGGAGCAGAATTGGCTATACGTTATTCAATTCATATACACCTATGCCACCCTAAATCCATAACGCCCGCTTCAAATCCAACACAAACACACCGGATAATACGACTTCGGATTGAAATTACCTTTAGATAACTATTTCAAGAATGCCCTTCAAGAATTAACACTGGTATATCATTCCAGTATATAATATAAGTATCCTAAAACAACGAAAAGTCGAAAACCCATCAATTGAACATTATTTTTCATGTATAGCAAATTCATTCTTCAATTAACGGTCCAAATTCTGAACCCTCTGCAAAAAAATTCAGACCCAAAAAGAAAAAAAAAAAGATAAAAAAAACGTGTATAGTAAAAAAGATTACTACTTTTTCGATCAAATGAGTCCAGAGATGGATTTGATGCTCACAATACATACACGAAACAGAAGAAACACGAGTTTCTTGAGGCGCAGAGTCGTCAATAACCGAAGAAAAAACCCTTATCGGAGTGAAATTAAATTAAATTAAATTAAATCCCATTTCATTTTACATACAGAAATACAAGGTTAGCTTACCCCGGAGTGGTGTACGCTTTATAATATGCACGCAAGAACACACACACATGAGAGTGTGGTGTGTGTGTGTGTGTGTATCTTCGTATTGAATCTCGGGCTCAAAAACCCAGATGAGCTACTGCTACTTTATGTGAAATGGACGTGGAGTACAAATATCAAACAGTACGGGCAGAGAGAGAGAGAGAGAGAGAGAGAGAGAGAAAGTCAAACTGCATAAAACTGCATAAAACTGTAGAAAGCTTCTCTCTCTACTACTGGAAATTCTTTTACAGCTCCGGAAATTGAATGCGCTCTTTGGCTTCAAATTGATAATTTCTTCCTTTTTGAGTATTTGTTTAAGCGGAACGACGTCGTTCTTAACCAAATTTATAAAATAGATTGGGTCATTATACAACTAAGGATGATTAAATTTTGTAGTTAGACCAATAATTAATATGATAATCCCATATTAAAATAAAATGAACTATTAAAAAAGATTACAAACATACATAGTGGTAGAAAGAAATATTTGCAATATAATTTTAAGTGTTATTTCAGCTAAATTTGTCTCCATTAATTATTTTTTTTATGATGATTAATCAGGACGTTTGTTAGAAAACTAATAATTAATGCATTATTGAAATTCTAAGTAACGAATAACGACCATTTTTTTTGTTGCTGTATAATTCAATAAGCAAAATCTTTGAAATGTAGAGGCACCAGTTGACATTAATTTCAATACATTTATCAAACAATAGGATTTTCTGGTAGATTTCTTAAAGTCTTAATTCCATTTTGCACTTGAAATATAGTTGTTTGGCATTTTGCACCCTAAAACAAAATTAATACCGCTTTACACCCTCAATAAATCATGCATAATTTTTTGAGTTATTGTCATCAAATTGTTTTGGGGAATGAAGTATCAGCGTTCGTTCGCCTTCAACCCTTTACCGTAAGCTGCAATAAGCAGCGCTTCAGCACGACCTGCAATTACTCGAAAAAACACAATTATCAGCGAATTATTATTCCAAGAAACGATTAAAGGTTAAATCTTGCTTTGGTGATTAATGCATTCTTGAAAAGAAAAATTTATATATATATTCACCGTGATCTTTCTTCCGTTTCAAAAGGGAACTCGTCGAGGGGAATAATGCCGATGCAAGCTCTCTGCTATCGTCCTGGTCGAGAGAAATAACTGATTTTCTCACATTTTATTTTAAAAAAAAAAATCAAAAATCAAATTTATTTATAAATTCAAATTTATATGTACGGGCGAACCTTGGTTGAGCGATTTCCTGCAAGTTTGAACTCGTTTTTCCACAATAACGACGGAACTGGAATAACGGAATATCCAGATGCAACTAATATTCCGATCCATAGCCCGTATCCAAATCCTCCACTCCACCATCCCTTTTAATGCAACCAAAAATATTATTTTCCGAAATAAAAATAAAAAAAATAAAAATAGTTGAAGTACAAATGTTACGGTTTTCTAACCTGCTTACCGTCTTGGGGGTATGGAATCGATTGCTCTATATATGCAGTCGTTCCTGTAAGGAAAAACGAAAGATGAAATCACAGTGAAAAAAATGTCTAAATGCTAAACATTGAGTTGTCGTAAACAAAATCAAATGGAAAAAAAAAGGGCAAAATCGAGAAAAAAAGATGATTATTTACGATGGTACGAATAAAGGGTTGTACTTACCGTCTGTCAGGTGTACGTTTTGAGCATCTCATAAAGAATTCATAGTAGTGGTTATTGTATCGTAACAGATTCGAAGCGAGCCATTTAAATAATTTGTTTTTTCAATTATTTTATGTTTTTCGACTCTGTTTTTGGTGGGGTGGGTGACGAACGAACAAACCGGAAATGATAACTCTATCTCACAATAATTGTTTTTAAGCTACTACATTCAACTTTTATTCAATCGAAGAAGCCAAAAAGAATCAGCATTTCAACTGAATCAGAATTACGAAGAAACGGAAGCATATTAATTATACCGATTGGAGCATCAATATCTCGAAGCAACTGAATGATTGATTTGACATCGAGACGCTTTCGGAGTCCTTTTCCAACCAGTACTTTCAAGTGAGGAGAATCGAATACCTTTCGATAAACGGAAAATAGAAAACGAGAAATAATTAGACAAACAATGCAGTCAAAATCTTAGAACACAATCGATAAGTTCCTTAGTATATATACACACATAATCAAAGACAAGAAAACGATAAGAATCGATTACTTATAATTTTGGTAACATAATTCGTAAAGACTGCATTTTTAAATAGTGACCAAAGCGAAGAATTGGGCAATTAGCTAATACCTGAGCAGAAGTATCGGGCTTCAAAACGGCTAGGGCTCCAGAAAGATCCGGGTCGACTCCGATGACCCAACCCGGGTCGGAGCCTTCTGAAACCGGGTTGCCAAAATCATCCGGCAAAGGACAAGTGAGCGAATCCAGCCAGTTTAATTTCAGCTGGTTGGCATCTGGACTCGATTTTTTGTCCCTTGAGCTACGTTTCGGCTTTGACGGTGGTTCTGGAAGTGCCGTTACAGCCTCCGGGTCGGAAATGGTTGTTGTTGTCGGGGAGGCGGCGGCGGCGGAGACGGAGGAGGAGGGGTGGGGTTAGTTTGAAAGGGAGAGGTGGGGTCATCAAACATTGGGGTTTTGGAGGGAAAGGTTGAACTTGGATCTGTGCACCTCCAATTTCCATTAAAATTTCAGGAGTGAAATGATTTTTTGAAAATTCACATCGATACTTCTGTTAGTTCAGTAACTCTTTCCCAAATTTCGGCCCAAAATTTTATTCTTATGAACATTATTAAATTGGGCTTTCACAAAATTTCAAGTATAATATATATATATATATTTGTTTGTAATTTATTTTCTTTAGAACAAAAGAAAATTCATGTAATAGTTATGTTAACTAGCTATAAATACTTAAGTTTATTTTTTTAGGATTAATTTTTGTTAGCAATGTGTTTTCCATTTGTGTGAAAAGAGCACAGAAACACAATAATCGAGCTGCCCAATTAATGCATCGGCCCACTAGTCAATTTAAGTGGTTTGATTGATCTTGACCATTGAATTTTCATAGTTCATAGGCTAGGTTTGAAAATCCTAACATTTTTTACTTAGTTTCTCTCTCTACTCTCTCCCTCTCATTTTTTGATGTACCTATTCTCTTACGTTTTTTTTCCACGTAGTTTTCCGACAACTTTATTCAAGGCTCGTCGCAGCATATGGGAAGCATTAAGTCGAATGCAATTTTGTTATCTTTGATTATTGATTATTGTATTGTGTAAGCACAAACTATGTGTGTGTGTGAGAGAGAGAGAGAGAGAGAGAGAGAGTCTTCTTCTCTTATCTTCGGCAATGGAGTGTGCGTGAGGAAGACTTAGTAAGAAAAGAACTATGTGAGTGTATCGTCTTCGGAGTGAGCTGATTCTGAAATGACTACTTGTGAGTCAACTCAGTGAGTAAGAGGCCAATCCTAGGACTTATGTTTGAGATTTGTGCTCGATATTGAATTGGTGATGCCGTCAAAGTGGATTTCTAGGCGTGGACTTGGACACAGAAGGGACAGAGCCGAGTTAGAAAAACGGCTCCATGTATTCGAGCCAATCCGGTAAAATCCACTATTTATGTTTCTTTCCGTAAGTGTAAACTATTTCTGTAATTAAGAATTTTTATTTGTATAAACCAAATGGGTGCCCAACAATATCAATTACTCACTTCTCTTTTACTATCAAAACCTTCAATTACTCCATGAATCATAGTATCTAATTAATTGATTGACATGAAATTTCACTACTAGTATTCGATTCACATTTTAGCATATATTTGATGGTAACTTGAATTATTAGAAAAGCTTCAAAGAGCAAAGCACTGTCATGAAAATAATGTTAACGTTGGAAAACACTTTTCTATTTTTGTGTGTTTCATTCCTTATTCCAAGATTCATTTTTTTAGTAAAAAGAATTAGATAATCCTTAAATTAAGGTAATGTACACACTTTCTAACAGGCCAACTTCCCTATGTTATATATAAAGCCAAACTCACTTCTCACTTGTCCAAACCAAACAGCCCTCAACTTTTAATTTGCACCAAATGGAATTCAAAACTCCATTGAAACTCCCTCCAAGATTTCACTACAAAACTGATTTCAACAGCTACATAAGCCAAAAGACTCCACCTTTATCACCACCCGTTTGCTCGAAAGAGTAAGCGGGATGACGATTTCGACCCTTTCGTATCGGCTTTGGGGAAAGTGATGGAAGAAAACAGAGGAACAAACAGCAATCAAGTACAAACAAAAACCGAGCTATAATAATAACGGACCACCGTATTTGAAGGGCTCGTCTTATTCGAGATGGGTTCGAGCCCAAATCAAAGAAGGCGGGCTTGGCCCAAAAGGGTCCGTTTTTCATCTAAAGGGTCCCATTTTCAGACAGAGTACAAGGTTTGTGAAAATCGAACTCGGAAAACTTGTTGCAGATAAGTGTAAGGTGAAGAAACTAAAGGGGAATTTGCAGAGGTACGATTTGTTTGGAAGAGAGGACAACGAGCGCGTTAATCAAGATCGCTTCAGTGGATCGCGTTAATTAACTTCTACAAAGACACATTTCCCTCTGTAAGTCCAAAGAATCAAATTTTTTTGTGTTTGTAATTTACAGAAGAAAATGGCCTTCTTGAATCAGTTTGTAGTTACAATTTTAATTTTAAATTTTAAATAAATTTATATATAATTAACTAAAGAGTGACCTATTTATTCCAATACTACATCTGGCCAGAACTGCTTCCACATGGAAATTTCTTCATCCCCACAAAGTTTACGAATCCCGCCGTAAAATCCATCAGCCTCGTTTCCCTCTTCCCTATGATCTCTCCGGTTAACAATGGTAGTTCTCCATCGACAGCCACGTGTGTACTGATTGAATTCAAGAACCAAACTTTCTGCAATTAAATAATCATTGTTAGAAGATCTCGAAATGGATCGAAACAACACGTTAAAAGTGTCGTATTATATAAGATAAAACATAGTATTATTGACTAATAACAGGAAAATATTGAACGCACACGAAAACAAGACAACGTCAAAAAAGGGTGCGCCGACGGACCAATCGAGCATCGACAGCAAAGCAAGAATTACCTCGGTCTCTTTCGGGTTTGGCTGGCTATAAATGTACCACTGAGATAAGCACTTATGGGATGTGTTGGAAGACAATATGACAAGCTAAAGACAATGGTTTTTTATTTTTCTAAGGCACATGGGAATCAAGAAAAGGGCCTACATAAAAAATTATATTATTTAAATGATGTATAATTAATATATGTTTCTTTATACTAAGAGTTAATTAATAGATGATCTCCAAAGAAATATGAAATTTTAATTTTGTGTAGGGAAAGAAAACATGGTAGCAACTCACCACTATGATGACATCTGCAGTAATTGGCATTCCCATCACATGTTTCTAAGTGGCCTACAACACCATACCACCAACCTGTACACATAAGCAACGACATTAATTTAATCCATTCATCGATCGGCATATTCGAATAAGGCACTTTCGATCATATCTTACGGAAAATTTTAAAAAATAAAAAATATAAAAAATAAATTATCCACCAACCAAAAGCCACCACAACACCATTTTAAAATGTGATCAAGAATTGTAGGTGTTTTTCGGACAAGAAAGGAATACATTGATTGATCGATCCAATTAGGTATAGTTTCAAGAAAAAACAATACCATATGGGAATTCTTTATTTCGTCTCCATTGGATTTCGATTTGATCACCCGGGCGAAGCTCGTTCAAACAATCGGAGATATGAAGATCGTGCGGTGAAGTATCGACAAGGGGGGCTCTTAGCCTATCCCATGTTACACCACTCTCTATTGCACTGGTTCTTGTTCCATGAGCCGGATATCTACTCATCGAAAAATCCAAAAAAAAATAAAAAAAATCAGCACCACAAAAATCATTACATAATCTGCCAAGATTCAATTGTTATTCAAGAATTCAAAAAAAGAAACACAAGTGCATTCAATCACCTAGCAAGAAAAGTGTCGGTTCGCCGATCGTAACTAACCACAGCATCATAGCAAGACAACATAAATCCCACATGACCATTCTGCAATAAAGCACACATTTTTCTTCAATACAACTAATTTTTTTTTCAAGAAATCGGTTAACCCATAAAAACAAATATATATAATATACCTCACGGTTATAAACCTGAGCAGGGAACCACAACTTGCCAGACTCAAGAGCAATGTACCAAGACATTACCGAATTAACCGGAGGAAAAATCTTATCTTTGCCAACACTGCAAAACCTAGATCTAACCAATGCAATGAGGCAACCCAAGAACCCCTTCTCTCCAATTCGATCGAAAAAAATCGAATCTTGATTTCTCGAATGAGCACTGCACAGCCATTCTCTGTATGCAGAGGTGCCAACAACTCTGCCCCATTTGCTCCTCACATGCCTCTCCCACAGGTGATCACTCACACACATACCCCTCAGAGATTTCGACACGCAGCCCATTCGACAGAGGCCCTTCGGTGGGAGCTTCTCGAGAATGGTCTCAAGTACGAGGTCGGGTAAATAATCGAGTACAGACATCTGATCTCCGGAGTTCGTATCAAAGGCAGTCCTTTGCACTTTTGGAACAGCATAAATTTTCTTGCTGGGCAGCATTCTTGTAGTGAAAAATGAGAGGGTTGCACTGAAGAGTGTGTTTTTTATGGATTTCCAAAAGCAGAGAGATAGCAATCTCATCTCACAAGCGAAAAGTGGACTGTAGAAGAGGATGAAGGAGAAGGAGCAAGTGATCAAGAATAGAAGCATTGGATAATCAAGAACTGGGCTTTAGCTAGAAATATATACATATATACATACATATATGATATATGTATATATATGGTGCAAGATAATGTGAAGGGGTTGATCAAAAGAGTTAGGTGGATAATAATTAAAAGGAATGAGCCTATTAAATAGTGAAAGCTTCTGCCTTTTCTTTTTTTTTTTTTTTTTTTTTCTTGCCTAATTTTGAAACCCTTGTAAAGAATGGAGGAAAGGGATGTTTGGAAATAATCAGTTGAGGATGGACAGCTTTTATTGGCTAAACCCACCTAACACAAATTTGTGGGCCTAGTTGATGTATTTTGTTTTTGGGTAAAAATATATAATAATGTGTTGACACGTATCAAGATTCTTGAATTAAAGGTTGCAATAATCTTTGGTGACAAATTGAAAAGAAGTTAGTGAGCGAAAAAAGAAAGTTGTGGAAAAGTAAAATGAAGCAAGGAAAATGAGGAAGAAAGAAGAAGGGAGGTCCAAATACAAAGAAAGATGCTTTCTTTTTGACAGTTTCTTGGAAATTACTAATGAAAGAAGAATAGTAAATTATGCAGAAAAACAAAAACACTTCTCTCTCTCTCTCTCTCTCTCTCTCTCTCTCTCTCTCTCTCTCTCTCTCTCTCTCTCTCTCTCTTGTGATGCTCAATGCGAAAATCAAGAAAAGGGGCAGGTTGAAATTGCAGGGAGGAAACAGAAAACTGCAAGTGGGGGAGTGTGGGATTGGCAGTAAAAATGTCAGTGTTTAAGATAACAAATTAAAGGTATGGTGGAATCTGAGAAACATGAATCATATGATAGATGGAGGTCAAATGATATGCTCTGCTTTTTTAACGGTATTCCTTAATCCGAATATTTCTTTTGAAAACTTTAGGATAAGCTGCAAAAATTACGAAAAAATCCTTACTGTTTTGGGTAACTATAACTACGAGGGACTATGAGTTTTCTTACTCGTTCATTTTCATGATGTCAAATTCAACAGTATCTTATAGATTAAGTAGAATGTTCTCTATTTTGTACTCGTTTTGTGCAAAAACACAGTTTATGATGCACCACTATCTGATATTTACAAGCCAAGATTACACATCTTATGATCATTTTGTTTCAAAATGTGGAGCTCGAATGAGGTAAAACGGATACAAACTTGGAAATATTTCACTTAATCTAGAAAATTCCACTAACTTTGACAGCGTAAGAAGATTCATAATTGAAGGAGCTGGTTGCAATTACCCAAACATGAAGGATTTTTTCGTAATTTGACGTCTTGTAACTCAAGGAGTGGTAGTAATTTATCCAAAACTTAATAAAAATTTGGGGAATTTTTTTTAATTTATTTGTTGAGTCTGTTGTTTCGATGCGTATTTCATTTTGGTAAATTATGTATAAAACTCCATGAAAACAAATTAAAGAAAAGAATTGGTTGCTTGCAAATAGTATAGTGATACCGGGAAAAGGGGAGCCATAAAAAAATAGAAGAAATAAAGAGTTGTGATTTATGATGTCACTTGATAAACAATTACAAGTATATAAGGTTTAATTAAAATAGTATTAATTAAGTTGCAAGTTGTGAAAGTGCAAAACTGTTGTGCAGAGTTGGTTGGCAACAGTATTGCTGCTGAGAAAGCAAGTGGTGGTGGCGGCCCGGCAGTGCGGCCGCCGCCCGATGCTGACGGTGGTCGCTGTTATGTGTTGGGTCCAATTATGCAACCTCTTTTTTTTTTTTTTTTTTTCTATTATTATTATTATTATTTAAAACAAAATTAATCATAAGTACATTCTCATATGTCATTTTGGACTGTAAAACTTTGATTTTGAAAAACTATAGTATATAATTTTCTCAACTTCTCAATTTTTGTTTCAATTTCTTTATTTTTTCAATTTTCTATAAATATAACTTAGTTTCCACACTCAAATTACAATTAAAACCACACGAGAAACATAAACCACAGTAGGCTAATTATATGTGGCAAGTTCAACCTATTGACTGTCGACAAAATAATTCGAGTTTTGGTCATTTGATATAAATTATCTTGCTCCAACCAGTAGATCATTCATTGCAGAACCTAAAATCTCTATTATTGTTTAGCATAGTCAACTTAACAATTATTTTATGCCACTGCATCGAACCTTTTGATTCGTTTGGATTATCTTAAACGTCTTGATTTAAGAATATACTAAGCCTCAGCAATTACATTAAACAAACGAGTATTACAACATCATTAGAGCATAATGAATGTTAGGAAGAAAAAAAATTAGGTGGAGGATTTATCCTAAATTTTATCATGTTTGAGGTGGCAAACTATAATAAATTAAATAATTGAATCAATAATCATTGGTTGGCGATAATGATATAGTCAAAGATTTGGATACTAAATGTAGGTCCACGCGCTTTCCGGTGGGCAAGGAATTGGAACTTTTTTTTTGATAATTAAAGGAATTGGAACTTGAATTAATACTAGTTCACACTACTATATAGTTTATTGAATTAAGCTAATTTTACCTATAAAAACATTCAATTAATTAGCCCATTAGTCAAATTTCATGCCAACAATGCATCCCTTCTTTTTCATACTTTTTTTTAGGGAGAGAAATAAGACTGTCGATTTTAAGAAGTTCACTACCGAATTTCAATAATCTGGTGTCAACTTTCGTAAGTTTATTATCATAATTTGTTAAAACGTTCAATATTTAACAAGTTAACTGTTAATTTCCGTAATTTTACTGTCATATTTTGTTATATTAATCGACTTTTGATCATATTGTTTTGGCAAAACAAACTTAGAACCTAATGCAAACAAAAACTATAAATTTCTATTAACGTTGAAATATATTATTAAAATAAGAAAATTATCATTAAAAAACTAATCTTATGTGCTTGTCATCATAAATCCCACATATTTGTACATTTATATAAGTAAATATGTATAAGTATATGTACCCGCATGGGTGTAGCTCAACTGGTTCCGGAGGTGGTAAGTTGGTGCAAGGTCCTAGGATCGAATCCTGGCAGCCGCAGTGTGGGAATTTCAACTCCAATGAGTTGGTTCCTTGTGGGCACCAGGTCCGGGTCCGCTACCTTAACGGGCCGTTGAGTTACCATGATTTACATTCCTCCATCAATCCTTGTCGGGCCAAGGGATGGGGGCCCTGGGGGCGAGGGATTTCGCCTTTTGGTGCATGTATAAGTATATGTATAATATGCATTCAATGCACCATCACCAAAGGTAAATTTCATGAATAACTTTATGACAAATATATGCCAAACTAAATAACCATAAATGTTCAATATAGTGTTCCAATCCAATGTATCTCCCTCTTTAGAAAGACACATCCATCCACATAAAAATTGTGAGATAGAATTTTTCTACATTAGGAACACTATAAAAATCTTATCCAATTCAAAAAAAATGAAAATCATTGGATTCTTGCTCACGTGGGCACCATTTGTTCTTTGGCCAATCGGCAATTACCCGTTTATTTAACTGGTACTTGTTTCGTTCCACAATAACTGTCACTTTTGATAAAATAAATTTGTTTCATATTATCTGTCGTTTTAGATTTCTAATACCGCATTAAATACATATTTTCATGCTTCACCTTTATCAATTCAACTCTATTAAATATTAACTCTCTCTCATCACAGAATTATACGATAAAGTTATTTTGGTCCTTTTAATATATTTTCCCCTAAAATCAAACCATATTTATTATAATTCTTAATATTTGTGCAAAGCTGAAAAGAGACGGCTAAAAGGAAATATATGAATGATCCCCAGGTCATGGAACAATAAAATAAGAAATATATAAAATGGGGACAATTAAAAAAAATGCTATATTTTATTATATTTTCCAATCACAAAGATTATGTTTGATCCTGTGGAATAATTGAAGCATATACCCCCAATACCCAATTGTTTATTTCATAGAGTATATGAATAATATGAATAATAGGTGTATTTTATTTTGTTGCATTGTCTCCTAAAGCAATGTCACATTTCTATCATTTTATAATTTAATTTCATGGTCTTGTGGTTTTCTTATTTTATTTTTTATTTTTTATGGGGTGACCACTTTCTCCACATCTCCTTTATGTACTGACTACAATTATTTATATTTTCTTTCTTTTAATGCCTTTATAAAGTCTTAATATTTAAGTTCACTACTTAAATCATTTTTTTGGATCAACTTGGTTTTGTTTTTTTTATAGATTCTCTAAACTTTTTTTTTTTTTTGATAAAATTAACAGAGTTTTAAAAACTATATTAAAAAATGAAGACAATCACAATATATTATTGGCCGCAACTACTCGAAATATTCATTCCACTAAGTGGAAGACCAACTAAAATGAAGACCACTAAAAGAAAAACATTGCAAGACTAGACGCAATAAAAAACTCATCAATGTCGAAACAAAACCGTCGCCGTCGCCAGAATCGAGCAATCCTTCATCGTCATGAGAGCAAAACCATCCAACATTGACACCCAAGCAAAACCTTCAACAATAATGATTTTTAGAATCTCAAAAAAATAAGCAAAATGGAAAGAGTCTTTTGTAGCAATCAATCTTTTCCAAAGTTTTATTTGTCAAAATATCATTAAGAAGAATCCACGATTTAAAGATACAATGAACGATTTTTGTTGTTAGTACCATCCAGCAAAAAGAATTTCCAAATCTTCTGTACATATCAAATTATATGTACATTTTTGTGAGTCGCTTTTAATCAAATTTTGGTTTCAGGTCGAAACGACTCAAAACCCAAATAATTTATTCATTAACGCATTTCTTATAAGGTTAAGGTCGGTGCAGGGGCCGGACCCAGCGCCATAGGGGACGAGATTTGGGGAAAGATGGATTATGAATTTACGGGGCTTTGGGCCAGCGTTCCTAATTTATTTTTGGAACATTTTGTAAATATCAGCAATGAAAATTAAGTATTGCGGATTATTTTAATTAAAAATAATTATAATCTAAACTATATTATCACTATTAGAATTTTTAAACTTACCATCATAGACTACTAAATTTTTTTGGGGGCAAAAAATACCCTAATTTATAAATAAATAAATAAAATCATTATAAAAAAGGCAAAAAAAAAATTCTTGCACGTGCCGCCACTAAGCAAAGCTTGGGTCCGCCCTTGGGTCGGTGCAAGTGCATGTGCAGGTTCAATGAATTCACAGACCAAAATTTGACGTTCATTGACCAAACTTTGACGTGGGTCAATACCCAACAGTAGGTGATATGGACCAAATTGCCCTTGTGGGCTTTCTAACCCTTTATTGGGCTGATCAGGTTGTTGCTTTTATTGGGTCAATGGTCAATCCAAATTGTCGTAGTCCGAGTTGCATTCGTCCTTATTGGGCTCGGAGTCGAGATCCAGCTTAGCACATCTTTTCTTGGCTCGGGGATGAACCGAGCTAGGATTTGTATACTCGGCCTATAGCCTTAGTAGGCGCAAGGAAGAGGAATTATGGCAAAATTGCTTATTTGTTTACACCAAGTATTTTCACTTATAAAGAAGGAACGAAGGTCGATCGTGATTCCGGCAACATCAAACGCTGATGTGGGGAGATCAAAGCGTTGAGCTTACTAAATCGAGTTTGATGGGTAGGTAAATCATAATAACTTTTCTTTCAAAATGGATCTAAATATTTACTTTAATATGATCGGTATATTTAACTTTGTAAAACTTATACATAGCAAAATATATAGGTCGAGGAGGAGCGGATCGTAAATATGACATCAATATATACTAGTATAAATCATTATTTTCATAAGAATTTTTCTTTCTTTTTTTTCTTGGAAAAAAAAACAGTCGTTCCTGAAAGATTATCGGAAAAAAATGCTTAATCAAAAAACATAAGAACATAAACTATACAATGGCGACATCGATGATTTTTCAGTTGTGAAAAGGCGATAAACGAATTGTACATCAAACCCTAAAAAAACAACTGAGGCATGTCACCGTCTTCTTCTTCTTTTCCTTCTCCTTCTTTCTTTGCTGCGCATGCACAACAAAAAAAATACGTATGTAACCATAAAACGTATATATATAATTTCGCTACAATTAATATATAATATTTATACATGATTTAAAATAAAAAAAAAACTTACAAGAGCAGAGTAGAAGTCATGACGACGAGGATTGAGATGGGGGTGGTTCTTGATGAACTCACGTTCGTTGCCGAGGCTATCGCGATTGTGTTCGGTCTTGCGCATTTTCCTCTGTGCACGTGCTTCCGAAAACACCACCGAGTAATTTGTTTCGTCTCTACTCTTTCTATCCCATCCTCCAAATTCCGGCAATCGCCGCCTCTGCATGCATGCATGCATTTTTATTTAAATATCTATAAATATATATAAATGTATATTTTTTTTTTTTTAAATATATAAAGAAATTTAATTTGAAAGCTTGGCTTACCCCCTTGTAGCCGCCTTCCATTGAAGGATCAGAAATAAAGGAGAAGTGGAGAGGGAGAGGTTGAAAAATTGCTTTGAGCTATTGCATAAATATATTTCAACTCTATAAAATTTTCGAGGAAATTATGTTTTTATAATGATGATTAAGTCTTAATTTTAAACCATTCAATTTTCTTGTTAGAAATTAGAGGGCTGGAGGATTATTAGCTGGCTCTCTCATCCAACTTGTTTAATCTGTAACTTATAATTTTCTTTAACTGAAATGTTAAATATCGTTTCAATTTTACTAATGTCGTTTTGACTTCGAACCTAATTTTGATATTTTTTTTTTGATTTTGGCAAAATTTGAAACACGAAAATTGTAGCCCTTTGGATTAACTTTCTAATCCGCTAGATTGGATGGCGCGTGACACAGTTATGCATGAATGAGTCACATTTTGAATTTTAGATACCTCAATACATCAAAATTGTGGGCAGTATCCATTGATTCATGTATATTTCTCGTCTGACATCCAGTTTTGGTGATTCAAGTTGGATTAGAAAACTAACTCAGAATACTACAAATTCTATTTTTCTGATTTTGCAAAATTTGGAATTAAAAATGATCAAAATCACGTTTGAAGTCGTAGCGGTATTATTAAAGCTCGAACGACGTTTATCACTTATATATTAGTGATAGGGCAAATTAAGACAAACCCCCTGAGGTAAAGTCGAATTACGAAAACACCCCCTCATGTTTGCATAATTACAAGCACCCGCTCAACTATGTATTATCTTACGAAAAAATCTCTCAAGTTAGATAAATTTGGGGGGGGGGGGGGGGGGGGGGGGGGGGCT